AAGACAATGTGGTCCGTGACAAAGTGTGGATACCACTTGTGCGCCTGCTAATCTGCCTTTGTTTAACGTGCAGCTGGATTGTAGATCAGATTCACCGGTAACCATGGCATCTGTACGTGTAACCATGGCATCTGTACGTGTAACCATGGCATCTGTACGTGTAACCATGGCATCTGTACGTGGGCTTCATCTACAATATCACGGAGGATGAGCTGCAGAACCAAAACTCGGCTAATGACAGTACGGCTAATGACAGTTTATTAATGCAGGCTTTCGTTTAAAAATTGTAAACAATAAATGTTGATTGTAATACAATCAACATCTGGACTTGTTTTTTAATTGCTATCTGACTAAACATCGTACTCTACGCTTCTGCTTAGTAAGTCAGTACCTATATTAAATCCTGAATCTGATCCGACGGTTCTCTTAATGTATGATTTGTACGTGTCTCCCTGCTCCAGCCTCGCCATGTCAGACCCTGGAACACTCAGCCACACTGAGTATCGAGACAAGAGTCGCCCAATCCCACTATAAGTAACCACTAACCAGGTAACCAGATAACCAGGTTACCAGGTAACCAGGTTACCAGGTAACCATGTCAGACCCTGGAACACTCAGCCACACAGAGTATCGAGACAAGAGTCGCCCAATACCAATACAATGATCTGTGTTTATATAAACCCGAGCAGCTACTCTGCTACTATTGTATCAGAGCACTGAGCATACAACCCGAGCAGCTACTAATTAGAGACGCGCGCTGTTTTCTAACCACTCTCTCTCTCTCTCTCTCTCTCTCTCTCTCTCTCTCTCTCTCTCTCTCTCTCTCTCTCTCTCTCTCTCTCTCTCTCTCTCTCTCTCTCTCTCTCTCTCTCTCTCTCTCTCTCTCTCTCTCTCTCTCTCTCTCTCTCTCTCTCTCTCTCTCTCTCTCTCTCTCTCTCTCTCTCTCTCTCTCTCTCTCTCTCTCTCTCTCTCTCTCTCTCTCTCTCTCTCTCTCTCTCTCTCTCTCTCTCTCTCTCTCTCTCTCTCTCTCTCTCTCTCTCTCTCTCTCTCTCTCTCTCTCTCTCTCTCTCTCTCTCTCTCTCTCTCTCTCTCTCTCTCTCTCTCTCTCTCTCTCTCTCTCTCTCTTTCTTTCTCTCTTTCTCTCTCCCACTTATTAGTTCATCAGGTGATTAAGTGCTTACCCAGGTGATTATAGAAGAGTGCATGTTTGTGCACTACAGCTGGAAGAGAGAGGGAGTGACTTTATCGATCCTAATTAGCTCTCTCTCTCGCTGATCCACAGAGCGCTGGAGGATCTCTAAATATACGTCTCAATTAGTACTTACTACAATTAGTACTTACTACGTGGGCTGCTTGTTGTTTTATACTTCACCCGGCCACTGTCCAGCTCGGAAATTCGTGTACGGTAGAACAGTTTAGCTTTCTAATGGGGGTAGATATATACAGACCAGGTCTCGGATGATATCCGGGTTACAGGTTGAAAATGGTGGTCGTTCGTTTGTTTATATCGCGGAGTTTGGGAGAAAGGAAAAGGCCGCGGTAAATTTGGGTTTTGGTTGTTTACATTATGTTAAGCCCTATTTGGGGTCGTTCGTTTGTTTTATATCTCGTATCGGGAAATGATCCAACTGAAGGGCTGAGTGTAAACACTGGTTACCTGGTTACCTGGTTACCTGGTTACCTGGTTACCTGGTTACCTGGTTACCTGGTTACCTGGTTACCTGGTTACCTGGTTACCTGGAACCTGGTTACCTGGTTACCATGGTTAATGAAATGGTTAATTTACCTCGTACAAGAGGGTATTCATTAAGGATTTACAGTTACAATTGTAACTTCAAAGTTACAATTGTGCTGATAAATAATTGATTGGAGCTGGAGCTTCTTGACACTACTCCATGAATCTTTTGTAAATAAGATACTATCTCATTTAAATACGAACACATGGATACGCTTAGTTACACTACAAGTTACAATGGCTTATATGTATAACATAGTCTGTTTTGCTTTCATGGCTCTGGTCGCTGATATTTGTAGCATTATTATTTGAGGACTGTAGAAATACTCCATACCAAATATGGCTTTATCATTATTTTAGAGTTTCGTCTTCTTTCAAATTAAAAAGACACACGTTTTAGTCTGTAGAACACAAGTTTGTGTCCAAAACGGCCGCTTCTTTTTGTTGGACTTATCAAAGCGGTAGGCAGCTTTAAATAAAGTTAAAATACCTGAGGAGTACGTGATGGCCTCATTTGCAAGCTTACAGTAATTGGGAAAGGCAGCAAGCCACTACTAATGTTAACGCTTAAGTTGGAATCAAGTCACTAATGGTCACTAAAAAAGTCACTAATCAAGTCACTAATGGCGACGCTGTATGCATTCCCTTTTACAAAGAGTTGGACTATCAAGAAGGTCTTATACGCCATGTTTTAATGATATGTTAGCTTCATATTAAGATATTAGTGCACTGAATAGGCCGAGGCTTCTTTTCTGACCCCTTAAACCAAGGTGAATAAAGGTTTGGTAACCATGGTAACCAGGTAATTTCCTAGCAACCAGTGTGAACCACTGCACTACTCTGCTTTACACACTTAAAACTAGAGGAGTCTTTACACTTGGCCTTACAGCTTCCAGCATCTCCTAGTAAGCGCTCTTTAAACTCACCAAAATAGTTATACAGTATTCACAAGCTGGATACACACCACCAGAATATATTATGCAGGCAGCTGTTTTCTAGCGCTGAGCTCTTTTGCTTGCTGCCTACTCCCTCTCTCTCTCTCTCTCTCTCTTCAGTAAACAGTTATGGCTGCTGTGTTTTAATTGTCAGCTGTGTTTTAATTGTCAGCTGTGTTTTAATTGTGAGCTGCTACCAAGGTGAATGTGGTCGTCTCTTGTCCTCTGTAATTGTATCTGTGAAGCAATGAATCATGTTGTTGTAGTGTTCCCTCTCAATGTATAGTTCTATCAGTATATCACGAAGATGATGGTGATGATTCCCTGGAAACCATGGCAACGCACGTACACACTGTGATGTGAATCAATAGCCGTTCTCATTCAATTCATCACAGCACAACATGCTACTTGACAGAACCAGTAGTGCTGCTCTCTGAAAAGCTCTGTAGCAAGTAATGACACATTAATGAAAAGCAACAGCTGTTGAGCTTGCTTCATATATCGGCTCTCTCTCCCTCTCTGCGCTGGCTCGTATAGAGAACTTTAGAACTCTACGACAATAATCAGAGTGGATTACTGTTCAGAGAGCATCACAAAACACGAGCGGCCTGTACACGTATACTCACGTAACATGGTCACGTGATCACGTGATGTGACGACACGTGGGCGGTCACGTGGGCAAGTGAGGAGATCTCCCGCGAAGGCACCTAGAGAATAGAATCATGTCGAGTCTTTCAACTTCGTATGTGGCTCTCAATGTGGCTGATTATTATTAGCTTTGTCGTTGAGTTCCATATCTCCAGGGTAATCTTTCTTTTTCGTTGCCGTGAAGATCTGTAATAATTAGCAGTGTCATGTCTACTCACCACGACACTCAGAGGTCTTCAATCGTTAGTTTTCATTTTCTGCCAACTTCTTGCGCTGCAATCAAAACAATGACATTGTTCTGATCTTTTCACTGAAGAAATCCCAGCAAGCCTCTGTATGCACTATATGTTGAGAGTGGACGTGACCATGGTAACCACGTGACATGCTGTGAGGAAACCTCTTTTAGTTAAACTTGTAAAGACGGCTTCATACACCTGAACAACATTCACACCACAATTCACCATTAACATTCCCCCCACATTATTCACAGCCTAAAACACTTTCCTTGGCATTATAAGGGGTTGACGTCACAAATGTAATATACGTGTATATATTGTACGCCAGAGCAACAAATTCGAGCCATATTTGAAAACCGTTCTTCATAGTTGAGACGTACTTCTCCTCTATATATATATTATATATATATATTATATACTGCTCTACAGTTATTGAATAATATTTAGACATGTAGTTGTGTATTACGTCACTTGTTTTACACTATAGTTTCATTCCTTCATTATTAAAGACAGGGATTCGGTTTGAAGAAGACGACTAGTTATACTGTTATTTTTGTTAACTTTGCAACGCCCTGTAAATCACGCCCCATTTTCTCATGTCAGTTGATCGTTTCTTCATAATATACTAATATATATGGGTATTATCTATTTTTACCTATTGTTACCTTTTTATCTGTACTAGTCAATCAGATTTTTGGGTACCGGGCCATCCTGGTTACCCTGCTATGGGCCGTTCCCCTGGCTTATGCAGGTCTAGTTTACCCATATATATATATAATACATACATAATAAACATATATATGTACTAATAGTAATATTATAGTGGTTTGATATTTCCCTCCATAATAGTAAATCATGATATATACACTGCTGCCCCGTTCTTCGCTGCCCCGTTCTTCGCTAGATCCTAAGTAATACATGCTGTTGCTAAGATTGCAATATGTGAGCAGAGCTGCATGTGTGGAGAGATACAAGTGAAATAGCGTACATATGATAGAGTATGTGATGCCGCTTGTGTAATCTATTAAGTGGTATTATAATGACATCATTTGTAAAGAATATTATTTAACATTTATTATCATATTTACAAAAACATGTGCTATAATTATCCTTAAAATGATAATGTATTATTTATTAATGCTTTTCAAACAAAGTTACAACGAATTCTTCATGTTATGCATCCTGGGTTTGGACAGGATATGCCCCTTTAAAATATTTCCATCACGTTACATTACATAATTCTGAAACATATATTATATTTACAATAAATTTAAAATTATGCAATATCACAACAGCTGCCTATAATAGTACCTCATGTGACTCATTTCCTAAAACATTGCTAGTGTGAAAGTGTAACTATTGTTTTGAGGATTAATACACATTATCTCCCATCATTCCCGACATTATATAGTCGAGCAACTGGTTTATAACCGACAACCTATTTATAGCCTATAGTGAAGATGGCAAACAAACTCTCAGAAGAACAGATCGCCGAATTCAGGGAAGCATTCAGTCTGTTCGACAAAGATGGCGATGGTACGGTTATTTCCCGCTATTCTATGAATACCATTACGTTTTAAATCGAAATAGCAAATAAAAATAAATGTCATTATGGTTATAACATCACTTTATAAAGTATGGAAACTAACATTGCAACGTCTTTTATACCTCCTGATCTGGATTAACGGTAACTCTCTCAGGAACTATCACAACAACAGAGTTAGGAACAGTCATGAAGTCCCTTGGACAGAGCCCTTGTGAATCAGACTTGCAGGATATGATCAACGAGGTAATTTAACCATTTCATTAACCATGGTAACCAGGTAACCAGGTAACCATGGTAGCCCGGTAAATTAACCATTTCATTTGGTGGTCGGGAATTTGCTTGTTACCTGGTGAATTAGCTTCCAATTGGTTCTGTTGTGAATATTATCCAGGACTAACATTAAACCCAGGTTGACGCAGATGGTAATGGAACGATAGACTTCAAAGAGTTTTTGGAGATGATGACCAAACACATGAAAGAGGCTGACTGCGACCAAGAATTGCGGGAAGCCTTCAAGGTGGGTTTGACTGTTTGATCCGCTGGATAGTTGTAGCAGTTACTATGGTTACTATAGTTACTATAGTTACCATAGTAACCTAAGCAGTTAGAGTTGTGGGTGTCTTATCTTTAATCGTTTGTACAGATCCCATCTTTAATCGTATGTACAGATCCTCCAAATTCAGCAGATTTTATTAAAGCTATTAAGCAAGTTTGATTAAATATTGATATTATACCGTGTGTAGTGTTGAGTGGTGAATATATAATATATTTAATGCTTATATAATAATATATAAATGTCCTATGTAGTGCCACTTCCGCGTGATATTGTGTGTGAAATATTGGCTAACAAATTCAAGTTGATGTTTCTGAGTATTCAAGCTATTGTGCGAGAGAGAAAATATGTTTGTTCCAGAAAATCAATGCGGGGTATTATTATATTATTATAGTGCTATAAAGGATAAATCGCAACACAATATTCGTGAATGTGATGTACACGGAGAAAAGAATGTGATAGAAACACAATCCTCGTAAAGAGCAGATCCTACATCTATAAATATTATAAACTTTTACTACACAGCTTGAAAGCACATGAAATATAATTATTCAAAGTATGAAAATTACAGCATTGATAATTATACAAAAATCAACAGCAACCACAATTAAAAATTAATTAAAGCTATAGCGTTTATAAATTCCCCTGATTTTGTGATTAATATTTAATTCTCCCGCTGTTACCTGTTGTACTATATTACTTTAATGTAATATGTGTCGCTGAAACGTTATTAAACTGCTTGCATCCCTTGCTTGTGTGAATTAGCGTTTTTTGTATTTTTATCACAGCTTTTTACTTTTACAATGTCCTCTGCTTGTGTCCAGGACGACAACTTCACTACAAGTACAGTTACCATAGCAACACCTACAGCCTGCGTTGCCTTTTTTATAACATTTTTTTGTAACAGCACCAATAACATCATGCTTGTGACAATGTGACGATCATGCAGTGGCTAACAGCTCACAGCAAGCATTTACTGAGACGCAGAAGTCAGCTTGTGTGAGCGAGAAAACACTTGATGTGGTTGTCGTGGCGTGTGTACAGCCAATCACGTGACAGCTTCAAATTCGAATGTAAGATTGTGGAATTTACAGCACACTCCCGCTAATAACTTGTGGATATTATATGGATATCATGGAACAGCCTTCAATGTGACCACACAAATAGTGGTTCCAGTGGTTTCAGAACCACCACAAATGGTGGTTCCAGTAAGTCATGTCCCAGTTGACACAGTGTTCTCTCTCGTGCAGCAGATTGTAAAGCAGCTACATTCCTCCGCATACAATCCTCCATGATATCAGTTACCATAGCAACAGTTACCCTCTATCAACACTCCCGTAGGTCTTCGACACCGACGGTAACGGCTTCATCAGCTCCGACGAACTGAAGCAAGTGATGAAGAACCTGGGAGAGAAGCTGACCGACGAGGAGATTAACGAGATGATAAGGGAAGCTGATGATGACGGCAACGGACAGGTCGATTTTGATGAGTTCGTTAAGATGATGCAATCGACAAAATGATGGAAATGTTGTGGTCGAGTAAGGGACCTAGGGAAGGTTACTATGGTAACTATAGTAACCATAGTAACTAGGGCAGGCTCATTTCTCGATCTACGCAGATGACATAATTCCTTATCTTCACACAGTCTAGGCACTCTAGGCACATTTATTAGTTTAATTTAACTTTTAATTTATGTATAAAAAAGTGTTTATTACGATACTGTTCAAGAAGTGTAAACCGTTGGAGTTTTAAGCGCAGTTATTTACTTTTGGCGCCTGATTCAGTTGTACCTTTGAAATTTCCTGTGAAAGAATATTTATAAGTTCAAACGAAGGAATGTATATAATATGCCTGCCCGATCCATATCTCCAGGATTCGAGCAGGATTGTGAACTAACTAAAGTATAAGTCTTTTGAAATCCTCAGTTATTATATTAAGATACCATGTGAAGTCCATTTTTTTCCTTATCATTTCAGAATGAAATTCTTATCGATTAGTTGTTGTTTTCTTGGAGTTAAAATAAATGTGAAACAAACGTTGAAAAATTATCCAAAAGTTATCAAATGTTCAGCTAATAAACGAAGTCATACTATAATTTTGTATGATCACCACACACGTGTTGAAATAAATATATTTCCCTATTTTGCATGATACTCGTCAATGTGCTACTTTCTTGATTCTTGTATAATTGCCACCAGAAAAACCTATGGTAAATCGTAGTCTTCACGGGGATCTTTGCCATCAAGTAACTTCTTTCTTTCGAAAAATTGAATGTGTGAAAAATTAAATACTTGCCTCATGACGAGGAAAATTTTCAATATTCTCGCAATTTTGCCATCGAAAAACATCGAATATTTTAGGTTGAAATATGTTTGAGTTTAAGTTTCAGCCAAATGAATACGAAAAACTCTAAAACTGGATGGCATCGATCCCCACTTTCCTTTCTGCTCCCGTTAATTCAACATATTCTAATTAGCTCCCCTCAATTAAAAAGGCAGTACTACCTTAGATCTACTGGTTAATATTTCGGATGACCTTCCAGTAAAATTTCCGAAAACAAGGACACTCAAATAGTACTAGTAGTAGTAGATTGCATTCCGATGCTGGCCTGAGTGTTTTGGAGCCTGTTAAACTTTTGTTAATACTTTAATAGGTATTTATAACACAACCACATGCATACAAAAATGTTTAACGTGATACTGCTACATATTTGTTCAATTTTTCCATGCCATGCACTGTGAGCCTGAATAGCGAAAGCAAATGATAATGTTGACAGTATAACCGTCAGCATTTAGTCTTGAAATTGTAACAAATGGGGTATCCATAGTAACTGTAAGAAATGGGGTTAAAACCTATACCACATTGAAACTGTAAGAAATGGGGTTAAAACCTATACCACATTGAAATATATGAGAAGCTAAATTCAGGATTGCCATGGTTACCTGGTTACCTGGTTACCTGGTTACCAGGGTTGCCACTGCAGCCTTCCTAATTCTTGAAGCAGCAGTTTCACATTTGATTTGTACACTAATTAAACGTGTTTTGATTAAAATGTACCGAAGATGAAATGTAAGCTCAAAAAGAAATCAGAAAGCAGTCAGATCTCTCAATTGCGACCACAAAACGCGACCGGCCTTATTATTTAGGTGTTTGATAAGGACGGAAACGGAAAGATCAGCAAGGAAGAGCTGAAACTAGTGATGAAGAACCTGGGGGAGAACCTGACGGACGAGGAGATTAGTGAGATGATATTGGAAGCCGATGATAACGGCGATGGTGCCGTAGATTACGAGGAGTTTGTTAAGATGATGCAAACAAAATGATGCGGTTACTATGGTAACGGTTGTCACGCTAGTTTTAGTTTGCAAGATCAGTTTTCTCTTCCATGGGGTGGAAATTCTACTGGACGTTCTTCCTTAAGTTCATATTTAATGTTGAGGTTTACTATAAAATTACTTTACTTAACGTTATATATAATGGGGGTAGTTTCGATCAGAGCCGTACTGGCTAAAGTGCAGCTGGATGTGTTGAACTTAAAATATGGAATTTTTATTTTTGGGGTAATTCTAGAATAAAATAAAACTAAATATGTTCATAAATTTGTGATTAAATTTTATAACTTCAATAACCATAATCCTGTGATGGACGAGCCGCTACCTTTAGATTATGTTTAATCTTATACGACAGAAGTGAAGGAAATTGGACCTTCATGAAATCGTGGCATTTTAACACAAGTACTTTTTCTTTAGATTTATAAACGAATAAACGGACTTAGGACTTAAAGATTAGCGATTCTTTTGCGTAAAGGTGAACGTTTTGTTGACGGATTTTCTGATTTGATGAATTTTGTTCGACTAATATGCTCTGTCAATATTGACTTGTTTTTATCAAAATTCGACTCGCATCAACAACAGGGACAAAAAAAATCGCGGCATGTGCGGGATCGCGATTTTTCCCTTTCTTTGCGACAAATTTTATGTTTCGTCTGTTTTGCTTGTCGCGGTATCGCGGTTTGTGGGCAAAATAATCGCGATTTTCTTTTGTCCCTGATCAACAATAAATAAGTATAAACGAAAGGAATCGATGTAGTCCGAGGAGCCCTAATCCTCCTCGCGTCCTAAGATGGCGTTTCTCTTGTCTCATATACGAGCCATTAATTGAATCATTTAAAAATGAGCTAAAATATATCGCCAGTCTAATAGGAAGCATTTGAATTCCGGTTACCATGGTTACCATTGGTTACCTTGGTCATCTGAATAAGCCCTCACTTTTGCTGCTGCTAAATGTTTGTTGATTTTGTTAGCATGTTTTGAGCTACGAGCGTGAATGAATGAATGAAAAAGAAAGCACTGTTGATAGTACTAATTAGCCTCAGCATTTAGCAGAATTTAACGTGTAGGAGCATGCAGTGAAGCGAGATAAGATCTTACCACCATGATAGTGGACGAGTCATGAGCGTGTGTGAATGCAAAGTCCGAGCAGAAATCAGGAATCAGTCAGATATCTCCCAGATCACAGAACGAGAAAATTAACAGAACCCTCCTAACACGCACGGTCTTCCTCTTAGGTGTTTGATAAGGACGGAAACGGAAGGATCAGCCAGCAGGAGCTGAAACTGGTTATGAAGAACCTGGGGGAGAACCTGACGGACGAGGAGATTAACGAGATGATAAGGGAAGCTGATGATGACGGTGACGGACACGTTGATTTTGATGAGTTTGTTAAGATGATGCAAACAAAATGAAGCGGTTGTCACGCTAGTTTTTGTTTGCAAGATCAGTATTCTCTTCCATGGGGTGGAAACACTGCTGGACGTCCTACCTTTATATTTAATGTAGAGACCTCTTACGAGCATGCTTTACTTAATATCATAGCGAGTTCAACTTCAATCAGAGCCCCTTTGGTTAGAGTGCAGCTAAATATAGAATTTGTAACCATGGTTACCAGGCATATAGTATGGAATTTGTATAGGTTGAAGTTGAGATCTCATGTTGCTATGTTGTTAAAATATGAAACTTTATTTTTGGGGTAATCTAGGAAAAAATGTAGATAAATATGTTTCACCCAAAGTAGTGGTATTCATTAGTTTGAAATTGAATGTTATATATTATCTTTGACCTTAATTCCGCGAAGTATGACTAGAGCCCACAAAGTTTAGATAATTGTTTCATTGTGCAATTATTGCACTACAGAAGTAAAGAATATTGAATCTATAACCTATAACGAAATCTCAGCACTAGAATCCTTCACAGCTAACATTTTTATGACAATAGACTTTTTTCTTCAAATTTAGAAACGCATATATAATATAGTATACCATGGTAACCATGGTTACCATGGTTACCACGCATATAGTATGGAATACTATATATATACATACTATATTAATATAGTATGGAGTTAGAAGCTTCTTTTATATAAGCTTGTAAGGTGAACGTTTTGTTGTCGGATTTCTGATTTAATGAATTATGTTCGAGTATTGTTCTGTAGCAATAAGTTATACTAACATATTGTGCTCTGTCAATATTGTATAGAACATATTTTTAGTAAACGGAATTATGAATTGACTTGTTTTTATTCAAATTGGACTCACTTAAATAAATGCATATTGCATAATATCCAATGGGTCAGTACAGTTTACCTACAATAGAAATTCAGTTAGGCAGCTTCTAATGAACCAACCCTACAACACAACAATTGGAAGAATGTGACTATCCCGATATCAACCCTCGCGTTTGTGTGCTAAACAAACCCTTTACACTAGGGCTTCTCGCTTAAATAGCAAAACCTCGAGTTTGTGTGCTAAACAAACCCTTAATACTAGGGCTTCTCGCTTAAATAGCAAAACCTCGAGTTTGTGTGCTAAACAAACCCTTAATACTAGGGCTTCTCGCTTAAATAGCAAAACCTCGAGTTTGAGTGCTAAAGAAACCCTTAATACTAGGGCTTCTCGCTTAAATAGCAAAACCTCGAGTTTGTGTGCTAAACAAACCCTTAATACTAGGGCTTCTCGCTTAAATAGCAAAACCTCGAGTTTGAGTGCTAAAGAAACCCTTAATACTAGGGCTTCTCGCTTAAATAGCAAAACCTCGAGTTTGTGTGCTAAACAAACCCTTAATACTAGGGCTTCTCGCTTAAATAGCAAAACCTCGAGTTTGTGTGCTAAACAAACCCTTAATACTAGGGCTTCTTGCTTAAATAGCAAAACACGCTCCTGAAAACCGTGTAGCTAAAACGTTTCGTAGCCTGTTTAACTTTTATCAACATGTATTTATCCATTTTGATAAAAGTTAAAATGTTTATAAACACAACTGCATACAACATACCAACATTTTTAACAAAATCAGATCTAGTCATCCAGGTTATAAACTAGTTGACTGTGAGATTAAGAAAGGGAAATATGTGAATATTATATGGATATCATTAAAGCACTGTTCACAGAATCTTTAGCATTTACCCTTCTTTCTTAAACTTTAAGAATAGAGGGCAAGAAGTTTTATCACTTTAAACTGTATGTATCGAAATCAAGAGGTAGAATTGTTGTCACTTTGAAGCAAATCAACAGGTATAATTTCTATCACTTTGAAGGCAAATCAACAGGTATAATTGTTATCACTTTGAAGGCAAATCAACAGGTATAATTTCTATCACTTTGAAGGCAAATCAACAGGTATAATTTCTATCACTTTGAAGGCAAATCAACAGGTATAATTTCTATCGCTTTGAAGGCAAGGCAAATCAACAGGTATAATTTCTATCACTTTGAAGCAAATCAACAGGTATAATTTCTAACGCTTTGAAGGCAAATCAACAGGTATAATTTCTATCGCTTTGAAGGCAAATCAACAGGTATAATTGTTATCACTTTGAAGGCAAATCAACAGGTACAATTTCTATCACTTTGAAGCAAATCAACAGGTATAATTTCTATCACTTTGAAGGCAAATCAACAGGTATGATTTCTATCACTTTGAAGCAAATCAACAGGTATAATTTCTATCGCTTTGAAGGCAAATCAACAGGTATAATTTCTATCGCTTTGAAGGCAAATCAACAGGTATAATTTATATCACTTTGAAGGCCAATTAACAGGTACAATTTCTATCGCTTTGAAGGCAAATCAACAGGTACAATTTCTATCACTTTGAAGGCAAATCAACAGGTACAATTTTTATCCTTTGAAGGCAAATCGACAGGTACAATTTCTATCGCTTTGAAGGCAAATCAACAGGTACAATTTCTATCGCTTTGAAGGCAAATCAACAGGTATAATTTCTATCACTTTGAAGCAAATCAACAGGTATAATTTCTAACGCTTTGAAGGCAAATCAACAGGTATAATTTCTATCGCTTTGAAGGCAAATCAACAGGTATAATTGTTATCACTTTGAAGGCAAATCAACAGGTATAATTTCTATCACTTTGAAGGCAAATCAACAGGTATAATTTCTTTCACTTTGAAGGCAAATCAACAGGTATAATTTCTATCACTTTGAAGCAAATCAACAGGTATAATTTCTATCACTTTGAAGGCAAATCAACAGGTATGATTTCTATCACTTTGAAGCAAATCAACAGGTATAATTTCTATCGCTTTGAAGGCAAATCAACAGGTATAATTTCTATCGCTTTGAAGGCAAATCAACAGGTATAATTTATATCACTTTGAAGGCCAATTAACAGGTACAATTTCTATCGCTTTGAAGGCAAATCAACAGGTACAATTTCTATCACTTTGAAGGCAAATCAACAGGTACAATTTTTATCACTTTGAAGGCAAATCGACAGGTACAATTTCTATCGCTTTGAAGGCAAATCAACAGGTACAATTTCTATCGCTTTGAAGGCAAATCAACAGGTATAATTTCTATCACTTTGAAGGCAAATCAACAGGTATAATTTCTATCGCTTTGAAGGCAAATCAACAGGTATAATTTCTATCACTTTGAAGGCAAATCAACAGGTACAATTTCTATCGCTTTGAAGGCAAATCAACAGGTATAATTTCTATCACTTTGAAGGCAAATCAACAGGTATAATTTCTTTCACTTTGAAGGCAAATCAACAGGTATAATTTCTATCACTTTGAAGGCAAATCAACAGGTATAATTTATATCACTTTGAAGGCAAATCAACAGGTACAATTTCTATCACTTTGAAGGCAAATCAACAGGTACAATTTCTATCGCTTTGAAGGCAAATCAACAGGTATAATTTCTATCACTTTGAAGGCAAATCAACAGGTATAATTTCTTTCACTTTGAAGGCAAATCAACAGGTATAATTTCTATGACTTTGAATTTATCATTATTAAAAGGTGCAGGTCAGCACGGTACTTGTGTATCTTTGTGTGTAAGTGTTCAGATTGAAAGCAACCGTTGCTTAGCAACGTGAAGCTGAAAGCAGCGTGATGTGATCTTCCAGTGTGATCTTTCTTTGATTATCACATGATAATTGTGACGTGTGTCTTGAATGCGAAGCCCGAATGCAGAAGCAGAAAGCACTCAGATCTGTCTCTACCAATATCTAAATCACAGAACGAGAAAATTAACAGAAGCTTACCCGCCCGGTCTCCTTCCTTAGGTGTTTGACAAGGACGGCAGCGGCAAGATCAGCAAGCAAGAGCTGAAAGAAGTGATGAAGAACCTGGGGGAGATCTTGACGGACCAGGAGATAACAGAGATGATAAGGGAAGCTGACGATAACGGGGACGGTGAAGTTGATTTCGAGGAGTTCGTTAAGATGATGCAGACCACAAAATGAAGGGAATGGTTTGCAAGGCTGCAGTCCTGTCTGCTGTGGCTGGAAATATTGCTGGACGTCATAGTTACCATAGTTACCATAGTAACATTCACTTGTTTTAAATCACATATATAAATTATAAGGGTAACTTTGATCAGAGCCATTGGATTGAGTGCAACTAAATAAAGAATTTGTATAGTTTAACTTTAGAGTTGAAATCATGCTATTAAAAGGATTTTGTTTTTGGGTTTCATTCATGAATTTGAATTTGTATTTTGTATATCTTCAAATGATCTCGCAAAGACCAAAACCTTTAGAAGTTTAGATAATTGTTCATTTTGCATTACACATCTACAAAAGTGGAGGAATTCGTATCTATTACCTCCATAAATTTTAAAATTATGAAATCATGGCTTTGACTCCTTCACAGCTAACAGTACGATTACAATAATTATAAACGAATATAATAATATCATGTGGAATTAAGTGTTACCATTGTTACCATGGTCACGATTCTTTTATAGTTCTATATAAAGATAAACGTTTTGTTGACGGATTTTCTGATTTGATGACGAATTTTCTGATTTGATGAATTTTGTTTACCTTAACAAAAAGTTAAATCTAACATAATATGCTCTGTCAATATTGTATAGCAAAACCAAAATGAATTATCTGAATTGACTTGTTTCAATTAAAATTTTACCCATTTAAATAATTTATGATATTCCAGGGGTCAGACGTCAGTGTTTAAAACTTTAAAACAACAAAACATTACCCAAAATAGATTGTAGGTTGGGCACTGGGCAATTTTAGTTTATGTTAATTAGTATATTGACGAAAATTCTTACTCTATCATATCTCCGAGATAAGTTTCAAAGTTTTACCCCTCATCCGAACGCTCTGTCGGGAGTTATATAGCTATAATAGTACATCAGAGTTTACCGTGTATTATTAATACACGGTACGGGTAAGCTCTGATGTACGAATAAAGTGCCCTAAATTGAGTGAGATAGGTCGGGAGTACTGCACTGTAGACAGTTTTTGTAGAAAAATATTGCAGTTATATGGCTGCTGCTATCTGAGAACATTCTAGAAGGGTCTTGGGAGCTGTATATCCTCCGGCCCTCCGGTTACTACTTTACTTGGGAGCTGTATATCCTCTATCTGGCTCTCCAGTTACTACTTTACTTGGGAGCTGTATATCCTCTGGCTCTCCAGTTACCATCGTTGTTAAATACGTCAAAAAATCGGCTCAAAATACGGCGCATTCAATGTTCGAGAGAAATGCGTAAGAATACGTCAAGTTTCCATTCAAGTTTCCATTCAATAAGCCCCAAAAAATTGAATTGAGACCCAGTTAAATTTTGTCCGGAATACGTTTAAAATTTGTCCGAAATACACGCGCAGATCAAATTAACGCCGCGCATTTTGAATTCCTTGAATTTTCTGAGCAAGTAGGCCATAATATATATAAGGCATAACAGGGTCGCGGTCACAAATCAGCGTGGACGGTCCGCGGTCTAAAGTAGCATTAGCGAGTAGCGACCATAGTCGCTACTTCATGATACTTCTGATCAGTGAGAGTGGTGGCTAGAGTTTGCTTTTCCGGAACTGAGACTCCTCTCCCCATAGTGGAGAGGGCTAGGACCATATTAAGGAAGTATGGGCTCTCGACTTTAGAGAAAGGAATAGCTTTTAGTCAGAAATAGTTTCTTTTAGACTATAATTATAAATAATTAGAATTACTATTAGGTGTAGCTATCCGTGCATCAAAAGCAAAAAGTGAAAAGGCAGTTTATTTAAACACGTGAATCGACCATT